CAGGATTAACATGAGACCTTGGTGCTCTCTAATCTTGCTTGTTTTCTTGCAGGCATTTCATTACCCAAACTAGGTAACATTGCGAGTTCTAGTGAATAGGAAACTATCGCTGGTGATGTTACCTACCTGGTAGTTTGGGTAATGAAACATCTGCAAAAAAACAAGCAAGCTCAGAGAGCACCAAGGACGCCTCATAACTTCTTCATCCTTCTCCCTTTTATTACTTCCTCATTTTTGTACTTTGTTACCATGTTCCATATTGCTGAACATTTGAGTGGCTGGCTATAGTTGCCAGCTTTGAACAGTTTTGTGAAAAGGTTAGCTCATATATGGAGTCCAAAAAGGCAGAGCAGCAGCTGAAAGAATTATTTTCCAAGATCAGAGATGGGAGGGGGCTGTTGGGACCAATGAAAACAATTCAAAAGGATGGAAGAAATTTTCCTCACTGTCAGGTCACATATTTTAATTTATTAGGGAGGAGTTAGTAAAGAGTGCAATGCTCAGAACCAGCAGGTGATGTCTAAGTCCTTACTGAGAAGGTGTGGCCCCCCCACACCAGTTAGAAAGGCAAGAACAGAAGCTAATGGTCCTAAGCGATTTAATTTCTTTGTTTGAATGACACAGAAACATAAAATAACTTCATAGGTTATCCTACCATCTTAGACAGAAAAAATGCTGCTTAATTTGTGGTTCAATTGTCTATTTTGAAAGACTGACTCATATGCTAAGCATAGATAGGATCCTGGATGCCATTCAGGTAAATAACAGAAAATATCCTGAATTTTAAAATTAAGAAAATAGGAATGCAGCAGCAGTTAAACAATACTAAAATGTGCAACATCAGCAATAAGAATCAGATCCCTTTCCAAATTAAATATTATAGAGAGGCTGGTTAGTCTCTTTCAATAGTGCTGATAATTTCTCATTCATGCTGCCTTTATACTACAATCTTGTACACCACCTTATTTTATGGACAGATGTGCAAAAACTATATTTGATTTATTAATCAAATTCTGCTTTTGAATATGTTCTTTTAGCTATTTTGCAAACTTATTTAATTGAGGCCTTTGAACTATAGTGCCAGAGAAGACTCTTGAGTACCTTGGACTGCAAGGCGATCAAACTAGTCAGTCCTAGAGATCAACCCTGAATGCTCTTTAGAAGGCCAGATCCTGAAGATGAAACTCAAATACTTTGGCCACCTAATGAGAAGGAAGGACTCACTGGAGAAGAGCCTAATGCTGGGAAAGATTGAGGGAAAAAAGAAGAGGATGATTGGGAATAAGGTGGCTGGATGGCGTCACCGAAGCAGTAGGCGTGAGCTTAAATGGACTCCAGAGGATGGCAGAGGACAGGAAGGCCTGGAGGAACGTTGCCCATGGGGTCGCAATGGGTCGAGCATGA